TACTTTCTCTATAACAAATACGGTCCTAATCTGTCTGAGCATCACATACGAAAGTCCCCGAACCTCCCTCATTTAGTATCCCGCTTCTCCAACGCTATTGAATCCCCTTCTTTGCCGGCCTCCAAAATTGAACACAATAATAAAAATCGGGCCTCATCAGGACCGTGTAGAACGGAAGAAACAGCGCGGGTTTTCCAGTTGAGTTGTCAGTTATCCGAACCTACTTGGAGTCTAGAAATGAATATTAATAAAGGAAAGACTTCCAACGCAGCCGATGTCGATATCATTTCCACAGGACTCAGAAGTAGGGCCTTGTGCTACCTCTGTATCTCAATATGCAAGGGGAATAGGGTAAACCCCCCAGTTTTTGGCCACGCTGATACGACTCCCATAGGAAGTGGACACCCTGTGCGCACATCGGGAAACACTAGTAACAGGTCCTCGTACGGGAAGATGTTGATAGAATGCTTGAAAACGGCCAGATAAACTAATTATGCTGGATTTAAGCCTCACTGGCCAACAACTGGAGACCGGCCCGAAACCTACCCTACTTGGTTGCTTACCCTACTTGGTTTATTAGGATTTCATCTTTTCCTCTCGTTGGAGCCTTATTGAGGCCCCACATACACTTCAATCAGCCCAACTGGGTAAAATTTACTTTTAAAGCTCGAATATTCTTTAAGACGCAAACCTACCACTGAGCTAAGAAATAGAACTGGAGGTGGCGCACAGTAGAATGGACTTGGAGCATTTAGAAGCCATCTTGGTTGGGTCCGTGGCAGCGTTTTCCCCATAGACTCCTAAGCGACTTTCTCGGTTTTTGTGTCTGAGGCCTACAACATGAGCCTTCAAAACGCGATGCTAATGTCTCTTAAACGGCATGTAAAACTCAAGCTGAATCAAAAACTGATACAAAACAGAGAAAATCAATGGCAGAAGATAGAGAATAGCCACCATGGTCCCAACAAGTAGACCCAACCAATATGGCTTCAAAATGCCCCCGCTTTCCCTATACTACTCCTATGGGCGCGCCACCTCCAGTTCTATTTCTTAGCTCAGTGAAACCTACACAGGCTAGTCTGCGAATGCTTAATGGTGGCATAACCAGGCTATCACCAAAAAAGACCTCCACGCATGCGCTCTGACCGTATGCGCGCGACACCCGCCCATAACCAAAGAGAGGTAGGCCTAGCCGCTAGTCCCCAACGGCCGGCCGATGAGCCTACGAATGCGTGTTATTTGTACTTGGCATCGGCAACATAGTTAATCTTTCCTGGTTTAGTTGGGCCTAGGTCTACCCTCTTTGCTTCCAAGGGAGGGAAACCTGGGAAAGCTAAGCCTATGCCTATCAATTTTCGCTGGACCAGGTGGATTAATCCTATACTGACGGGATGTGGTGATGACCCACCTTCGGGCTAGGATTCACTTAGGGTAGGTTAGGCCTATATGGGCATTGTCAACTTCATCTAATTTGATTCCAATGTGACGTTCTCTGTCACTCGTAGCAGGCTAGGCCTATGCCTTTGTGTGAGAACTCTCCATTAGTCTGAACCAGCCTAAGACCTAGTTCTCTTCTATAGTAGTTGATATGCATGACCCCCCATTCCCCCTGGAGATTGCAAATTAACGAGTTCTCACATTATCGAAAAGTTTTATGTGGTATCACTACTGCATACTTCCAGCTCCCATCAAATGAGCAAATGTTGAGGCGTAAAGTTATGAATGCAGCAGTTTTGCCCCACTGATTTGGAAGTCAGTTTGTGCAATGTGGAATATTTTATGTAAAAACCAAAGTGAATTCAGGCACATTTTTCAGTTTAAGTAGATCTAGGATTTGCACAAAACCATGTTCATGGCATTCATTTTCCACTCCACCATTGTGAGATTAATAGAAAATGTTGAGTTGGGTTCCTTTTGTGGAGTGATGATGCCAATAGTTTTAGAATAGAATAAAATATACTTTCCTCATATTTTCAAGTAAGGGCAGAAGATAAGTTCTTCAGCATGAACAGTTAATTTGAGAAAATGAAAAAAGTATTAGACCTGTTTTCAATGTCGTTGAAACAACTGGAGTTCTGCTCCTTTTTTCTGTGTTCCCACCTCCCACTAGATTAGTTGTGTTGCATCCAAAGCATTTTTCATGATTGTGCTAATGAATATGGGTGAGTCCGAACATCCAGGTGAAGAACTCCTTTCTGAGCAGCTCTTTTGAGGTGGATTCCTTTAGTTGAATATGCCTTGGTGCCAGCCACTCTTGGTTATGCCTTGATTCAAGTCAACATGCCAGTACAATTGATCTGGTCAGCCTATATTTGCCAGGTGCCACTCAAGTCAATCCATTTGGCAGTATCACAGGTCTATAGTGGCAGATTTCTCATGTCTACCTGGCAGTTCCCATGAACCTATTTCGCAATTTACTTTATTGTTCCACTGTCTAGTTGTTCCCTTATTTGTCCTGTTGAGATCACATGAATAAAATAAGATGCTGCCAAGGTGGGTTTTGAATCCCCAGCATAGAAAATAAGCATGTTAACCTTTTCTGGTGCACCCTCCACTGTTAACCTGGGGAAGAATTGTCATGACAGAAAAATGACTAAGCCTTGTAAGTTTATTCACCATGAACATATGAGATAGCCCAAAACAATGGCAAGTCTGCCGTTCTCTCTCCTCATGAGTCTGGTTTAAATTTTCATGATGAAATGGAAACTAAAATTGCATTGACTCATCACCCATAAAATGGTAATAACTTACTGAATGTGATACAAACCAATAAGTAATTAATTAGCTATACCACTCAGTGTATCCTTGCTAACCCTTGACCCTCCCAGTCCTTTCTGTTTTGAAGCACCTAATGATGGTGCCCTTCCAAGTATTTATCATACAGGGTGTCCATGAAGTTCCTTTACAACTTCAAACCTAAATAACAATTTAATAAAAAGACTTACAGTTAAACGGTTTATTGCATCATAAAGTCCATCCTTTAAAGTTTTTATTGACATGCATTCTTGCATCTATTAATTTTCCTGAGTGTTGGATTGGGTGGAGTGGTCCAATTCTGTGACCAGTGTTCACTGGACATAACCCCCTTGGATTTCTTCCTATGGGGCTATGTGAAAGACAGGGTGTACCATGCAAAAGTGGACAGTATGGAGGACTTGAAGAACAGAATTTCGGCTGTTATCAACACCATATATATCAAAATTTTAAACTGAACCTAGAGAGAAATAGAATATTGACTTGACATTCTGCATGCAACAAGAGGTGCTCACATATAGTTGCACTAATTTTTGTGTACTTGTTACAAATAAAACTGAGAGATGGACTTTATGATGCAATAAACTGTTTAATTGTAAGTCTTTTATTAAATTTTACTTCAGGTTTAAAGTTGTAAAGGAACTATTTGAACACCCTGTATATATAGGGTGGTGCAAGAGTTGTGCCCCAGAGGGATTTTGAATATTAATGAAAAAATGCCATTTTTGTTTATTAAAGTATATGTTCAAAGTGTTGGCCATTAACCTCAAAGCACTTTTCAACTCCACAAATACATGATGTCTGAACATGTCTTAACACACTGATGCTGATCACTTACCTAGAAGGAAATATATTTTTTTTCTCTATGGGGCATGACTTTTGTGCCACCCTGTATATGTATCTTTTATACTTACACTGCAAATAAAAAGAAGCGAATTTTATAAACTTGCACAAAAATAACTCATAGTTTCAGAGTTAAAATGAAGCCAATACTAGGGATGCAACTAGTGACAAAAAAGTAACTTATGTGCATATATGTGAAGGCTGCTGCCATCTGACAAGAACCCTAACATGAAGGAAGAAACCTAATGGAAAGCCACAGGCAAAAAATTGGCCTTTGGCATTCTTAGCAGTAGTGTGCATGGCTGAAAAATCTGCTGCATGGCACTTAAAGGGTTAAGCATTTTTTTGCCAAAAGCACCTGCATGCCATTGTGAATTTTTCTCATGTGTCAAACCTTAGGTTTTGAATGAACATAGGGTATAAAATAATTGCCATGGAATAGAGGGAGAGTGAAGGAGAAAAATTGCTGAAACTAATACTTATCCAGCTTTATGCCGTCCTTAATTTTTTATGCATGTTCCAATGCCAATTGTGATAGTTACATTAATATAAAAAAAAGACATCCATGAAAAAATGTTTAGTAGTAAGTTCTACTCCCAAGTAGATATTGATGTACACCATTCAATTTGGTCTTCACATGAGGATTTTCATTGTTGAGTAGTTGTAGCCTGCATTGCAGCAAATGTAATGCTTTTTTTTTTATTGCCCCTGCCTGCCTGCACAAAGGCTCAAAGATAGTCATCACTACTGTATGCTGGCATCAAGAAACTCAGTTATGTTAACACATATATGTTAACCCTTTCATGGACTATTTTTATCTGGGAAACTTTGCATATTTTCCTGGTTTTTTTTTCTTCTAATAAATGTATTGCACAGAAACAAAGAAGCATTCTATTGATAATTTTGTGAGACAAGGGACAAATCCTGACCAATACCTAATTTAAATACCAATAAACAGGTTTCCCAAAGCATTAATGAGTTCATGTGGTGGGAAGTCTGATTCCCACAGCCCATGGAAGGGTTAACACTGTTAATAATGCCCCAAAATACAGTGATTTTATCACATTTCTCTCTCTCACTTGTGTGATGCATTGTGGTGCATTATTGGCTGGGGGTAGAATAATGCTTATTGGATCGTTTTTTCCAGGAATTCATCCTCTTGCTGTCAAACTATTTTATGTAAATATTGTTTTTTCCACCCTCTAAATACATTTTTCAAGGGGCCTCTTTTTATCACTTTGTGGAAGTAAACATTTATCTAATCAAAGTCCTGACTACTTGACAAATTGCTTTACCAAAGTGGCATTCTCTTTTACTTGTACTTATCCTCATTATTTTAGCACTTTTTTTTTACTGCTTTTACGTTTTTCATAGTCTTTCAAAGTCTTTCTTGAAATGTACATAACATTTTTTTTTCAGATAAATATTTTTCAATGAAAGGTTGAACCTACCTTGTATATCTTGCAAAAAGGAAAATGATGGTTCCTGAGATTGCACTGTCACATCCTCCTGAGGATGGAGTCACATCTGTCACATTTGGACCTTCTTCTTCCAAGTACCTTCTGGTGTCTTCATGGGACTGCTCAGTTCGCCTATATGATCCTGTAGCAAACTCCCTCAAATGCAAATACACCCATTCTCGTCCTGTGCTGGATTGCTGTTTTCAGGTAGGGCTAAGGCTAGCAAGGTGAAAAAGATTGACACCTCTTTGGATCTGCACATTAGACTCTAATGAGCAAAGTTGTGTCTTCTCTGTCATATCAGCCGCTGACACTTCCTTGCCCTTTTGCTATAATTATCTGTCAGGGGAAGGTTGTGATATCTACCTCATTTTGTATATGCCCTTCACAACAATTTTTTGTCTCAAAGGTGAAGGCAGTCAAGATGTGAATGCCTTATGTTTCATTTCCTTTATTAAATTCTGAGGAACTTTTAAGTTTCAACCTTGGACAGTCTGTCTCAAAATGTATGCATCAAGAAAGGGTGTTGCCATTGCAAGTAGTCTTGTTCCAGTAGTCCTGTGAATTTCTGCTAGTTTAAGTTAAGTGAAATGTCCAGTTTTGAACAGTTTGCGTTTGCATGTATGGTACACCAAGGGTATAGAGACTACCAGGTATTAATGAATTCAAGGCTATAGCCAGGAGTTGCAGGAACTCTCATTTTGTTTTTTTGTTTTTTAATGCATAGAACTAATAGAGCTAACCAAGCCTGTGGCTGTTCATTTCAGGCAAGCAGCAGGTTTGCAATTGCTATAAATCAAAGTGGGCCAAGTGGTGCAATTTCTATATTCTGGTATTGAAACCACTTGTATGTAACCAGTTAGTGCAGAATTTGCAAATGTGCATGAGAAGTCTGAAAGTCCCTTCAAGGGGAAGATGATAAATTTGTGTAATTTTGCATGCATTTTCAAGTTTTACTTCTGTAGAATGAGAATGTTGTTTTGCTTGTTGAAATTTGTGGATATTCAAGGGGACAAAATATGATAGATTGCAAGTGCAATTCTGATTAACTCTATCATATTGACTTGACCTCCTAAATGGGGATCATATAGGGACAGGGTTGTTATTTCTTGAAACAATATGTACCTTGGTACATTCCTGAAGTTAAATCCATGGAAACCAAATGAAAAGTACTGTCCTATATCCATTGAAGGCCTCTGTAAAGTGTTCTTTTTTTTCCTTAAGGAAAAGTGGCAATCTAACGATATGATCTGTCATCAGTTTGATGACTAATGATGCCTGGGCTTGTAAAAGCTTCATGCTTCATGAGTGGGAAGCTTTTATCAACTCATTTTTTTCTGTTATAAGATTATTTGCTGTCACAAAAGGGACAATCCCATTCAAAAATACTCCTGAGGGAGAACTCATAGCCATAAATCTTTTGAAGCTCAAGAAAAACTAGGCCTGTTGTTTCCCTTCATTCAGCCAGAATCACATCAATGCTCTTGCTTGATCCTATTGATCACCATAGAATATGGACATTTGGTACATTCAGTAGTACATGGAATCCCCATCACTTCAGAGTTACTTCCAATGTTATCTATTAATGGAGTGGATGTGATGTAGCCCTTGCATGAAAAATTCCCTGCAAGTTTCATCAAGGATCAGGACCAAGAATGAGGACAGGGCTGGCCTTAGACATGTGGCCCCACACAGGGCGCAAATTCACCAGGGGCGCCGAAATGTGCCAGAGTGAAAGAAATCTCTAATAGATACCACCTTCAGTTTTACTAAAGTAACTGGGAATGCCTTCTGTTTTGGCATCTTGGATGATAGGGATTGACCCTTCTCCCTTGGAGAAGGGTCAATTCATGAGACGGAGAAAGGCTAGAGTTCATTTTAAAAAATTCAACTCGTTCCTCTCAGAGTTGTAAATGACATCGGAGCAATTAAATACTCTCTCTGAAGGCATACTTTCTGAGGGAATCATGGCCTTTTGGCAGCAAAGAATTGGATCAGATTGACTGATACCATTTCTTCTGGCCAATCCACTCTATATCAGCTGATATTGATGGAAAGTATTGGTATCAGTGCAGCCCTAGTTTTGTTTTCCAACCTAGTCACCTGGAGTGGGTTAAAAACTTTATACTAGTATTGTTTTTGCTCATATTCTGTAGCTCATGGAAAGTTTTATATTTTCACCAGGATGCAGTTCATGCCTACAGTGGGGGACTCGACAATACACTCAAAATGTATGATCTCAATACCTCTTGCGGTGAGTGCATATTGTTACTCATTGTCTTGGATTGTATTTACCCATGCCTCATTATAATAAGACATTTTTACTCTTTTTTTTTCTCCTTACAGAAAGTATTATAGGGACACATGAAGATGCAATTAGATGTGTTGAATTTTGTCCGGATGCAAATGTGGTTGTCACTGGCAGCTGGGATTCAACTGTGAAACTCTGGGACCCTCGAAGCAATGTTCTCAGTGGCTCAGCACAGCAACCAAATTTAGTAAGTTTCATCTGTCATTGTGCTTATGTATCAGCAATACTCAAACTGTGGCTCATGAGCCTCATGCGGCCTGTGAAGACTAATTGTACTTTGCAGGGAAAAGAAACCCTAGTAGACTTTTACTAGTACTAGTAGACTTTTTTTCAGTGTGACCTGCACAAGTTTGCCCACATCTGTATCACCTGTATCATCTGCCCACATCAGCCCCCAACTCAAAAAGTTTGAGCATTGCTGTTATAGGTTAACTAATGGACTCTTCCTAAAACTGCAAACAAAACATTTTTCTAGCTGTTGACAACTGCCTTTTGTGTTATAGCACAAACAAGGAAATTGTGATTCATGTTAAGTGAATCAAATTTTGTTTGATTTAGAGTGATACGAAGTGAAATCATTCTAGAACAAGAATTTTCAGCATGTCTGCCTCAAACACAAGACTCTTCATGAGTAGCATTTGACCCCTGCTTAACCACCTTCTGTTGCTTGGGGAAGCAATTAGAGAGTCAGAAACTATCTGCAAAATAACTCTGTAGTTTCATAAATCTGCACAGAAGGTGCCTCATATCCTGATAGGATTCCAAGTGTGGTTGGTGGTTCCATGCTGAAGTGGTGATCTTCAGGCTTAGTGTTCTATGGAAGTGGAATGAGGAGGACACGCTTTTAAGTACGTGATTGTGCATGGGGCTTCATATTTGAGGCATAACATCATGTGAAACAGATGCACAAAAATGTGGCCTGTTTTATCTGGCTTTGTTGTTGTAACTTTACTCCCTCTCTTGATACTACTATTATCAGCCATGACGTTTTCATTTCTGCCAAATATTCTTCATTGATCATGATGGTATGCTTAGTTGTTTCATCAAATGATTAAGCAATGAAGTTTTTCAAGTAAAAACCCCACTTGAAAGTATACATCTGAAAAAGAATAAATTGCAAAGTTGTATGAGATGTATGTCCTTAACTCTTATCCCGGCAAGGGGGATCCATTGGACCCCTATGCCTCAATTTTTATAAATAGCATTCAAACCATTGCAGACATTTTCCTGTCATTTTTAGTATTTGTCCTTCAAGTTAAGGAGACCCTGATACCTGAATATCACCAACCTGAAAATTTTATAAATGTAAGAAAAAATTATTTTTGGATTTGAGTAACATAACCAGGCAAGGGGGGGGGTCCATTGGACTCCTACTATGTTCCATTTTCACATGCAAATTTTTCCCCTGATTCCTCCATATTTCACAGCTAGATCACCTAATGTTTACCTGAAGGGCCTTCTGACGACTTGAGTAAGAGAGAAAAAGGGAGGAAAGAAGGGAATCTTGATTTTATCTTAAGCTCATGGAGAAGGATTCTTCCCGGAGCAGTATCTTTCAAAGAGATGAGTCGCTAAGGTGAAATTCAGGTAATCCCAAAAGAATGTTGCCCCTAACACATTCGCACTTGTCTTTTTCATCCTTGTGGAACATGTTGGAATAACGTTATTCCCCATATGGTTCAGTACGAGCATAGTCATGATGTCAAGTTGGTCTCACCCAGTGTTTGTGGTTTGGCTCCATCTGAAAATTTTCTTTCATGTGGTGTTGTTACTTGCTTCTTTTCACATTAGGCTAAGTTTGTCTCTTGGTCTATAGGCCTTTTATTATGAGCTAAGAATAGGATAATGCAAAAATGCATTCAGAAATCTGAGACTAATGATTGGACAGCGAAGCCATAAGCTGATATACCTCAAAAGTAAATGTTTGCAACAATTTCATGATGCGATTTTCTTGTAAATTAAGCTTTATTCTTTGTCTGGGACTGCATCAACTTATTTTATTCATAACATCAGGGTTAATGCTCTTCCAATCATATATGGTGAACATTACATCATGTGTAAAAAGAGACAGTAAATTGGATGTAAAAGGTACCCCGAAGGTAACAAATTGTGAATTACAGGTGAAAGGTAAATGTAAGTGCAGGTAAAACATTGTTTTAAAAAAAAACACAGGTGAGAAAGGGGGAAACTATGGAACTGAGGTACATTACAGGTAAGAATGCAATAAAATATCGTGGTGAAATTTGATAGCGGTGGAATTCAGACAGTGAAACAGGAAAAAAAAAAGAGGAAATTTTCCAAATTTGGACCTCAGTTTTACTATCCAAATTTTACCTGAGATAAAAAAAAAATTTTGGGATGCAAATTAATGTTGCATTAATTTTGAAATTCATTGGAATCAATAAAATAAAGGCATTACTTCATGGTAAGCATGCTTTTGCCTTCTGTTTACCCCTACTATATATTAATACTTAAAGTAATAGGGGGTCAAATGGACCCCCCTTGCCTGGTTACGTTCGTCTTTTACCTTACCCGGATAAGGGTTAAACAGGGTTTTTACTGTACTTTTGATTATCCTGTAACTTTTATACCTCGTTTCCAGCATTCAGTTTCTCATTATTCTCTAATCAGATGCATAAGAAAATCCTTGTGTGTTACAACTGTTTTGCCCATCTTTCTTGTCATAACATGAAGAGGTACAGAATGTGAAAGCAGTTGAGTGACTGCAAACTATCTACTGCAGAAGTATGTTTGCTATGGAATCATTTTATGAAAGGATGGTGCTCATCACTTTCAGACTCCTTGACTATAGATCAGGACCCAAATGCTGAAAGCCTCATTTAGACAAGGTAAAAGGGCCTTAAAACTAAAGTACTCTTTTTCTCCGTTGAGGCTGATGGATTTGATTGATGGACAGTGATTTACGAGGGCTGGTCAAAGAGTTCCCGGAAAAAGTGACTTCTTATTATCAGATCCCCATGATTTTTTCACTGCATATTCTTATGTATCTTAGTAGTTCTCCCTTTTAATTTCAGATCCCTGTGTTAAAATGGAGACTTGCAAGCGCGCGTGAAGTGAAACAAGTCAGAGGGTCTTGTCACCCTTGACGAGCCGTGACAAACATGGGGCAATTTTGGTGCAGTTTTGGCCCAGAGGTGAAGAACCAGAGGAAACAATGGGAAGTAGAAGTAGATCCAGGTTTCATCACCTGTGAGGATGTTTCCCACAGCTTCAGAGGCTCCACCATCGAATTTCTTAAGCATGAACTCACAGAAGTCCACACGAGCTTTCATGTGATCCGGTTTCAGCTGGTGCGGAACCCAACAAGCACAGACCTTCCTCGTCCCAAAGTGTTCGTGCAGGATCTTGATGACCGAGCCATGCAACACCCCAACGAGCTTCTCTAGTTCCCTGGTGGTGATCCGCTGGTCTTTGTCTAGGAGTTGCTTCATGCTGGCAATGTTCTCTGGAGTGGCAGTGAAATTTGGACCACCTTCACGGGGATCATCGTTGAGGCTGAAGGAGCCATATCGAAAGCGCACAAACCACTCGTAGATAGGATGCTCTGGGATGGAGCTTGGTCTGCAAGTGCCTTTTGAAGGGTTTTGAAACACTGTGCCCAATTTCCCAGCCGAAACTGCACCAAAATTGCCCCCATGTTTGTCATGGCTCATCAAGGGTGGCAAGACCCTCTGACTCGTTTCACTTTGCGTGTGCTTGCAAGTCTCCATTTTAATGCAGGGATCTGAAATTAAAAGGGAGAACTACTAAGATACATAAGAAAATGCAGTGAAAAAATTGTGGGGATCTGACAATAAGAAGTCACTTTTTCCAGGAACTCTTTGACCAACCCTTGTAAATGTGGTGTCAGCATTCAGGCATAGATCTTTACCATGGGGAAGAATATTTTCTTTTTAGTGAAGGAACTGGTTTCTTTAGTTTGGTTGTCATATATCCAGTCCTTCTTGCTGGGGAAGAGATAACAATGCTAATTTAACACTAAAGCATGTATGTTTAACTTGCAGGGAAAGCCCAAACTGGGCACTTATTCAGGCTGAGAAACCCATTGGATTCAGAAGGCATCCAGAGAAAATTAAGTTTTGCAGTCATGTTTGTATGTTGTTAACACATTGACCACCAAGTACGAGATATCTCGTGCTATGCTTTGAGCAATGCCACACGGTTGCTAATTTCTAACATTGCATGATGAAGTACTGGATATTACGGTACTAATTGATTTGATATTTTTTTAATTTCTGTGACAGTAAAATATATGAAAGATGGGATATTGATAATTTGTTAACTTTTTTTTTCAAATTTCTATGGCATGTGAATAAAAGAAATGGTGGCAGTCAATGTGCTTAGTTTCATGAAAATGCCAAAAAAGAAAGATTATGATAAGAAATCCTGCCTTTTTGAACTATGAACTGCTCCTTGTCAGCAGCCACACCTTTTATGTGTAATATTTATTTCTGATATTTTCAGATACATTTTCACACACCATGGATGACACTTGCTAGAAGTTTTCAACCCTGCCCTATATGGACCATATGTCTATTACTTATACCAATATGTGGATTTTGCTCCATAATAAACTTTTGTTTTTCAGGTGTACACAATGGGTCTGGTTGGTGACAAGTTGGTTGTTGGTACAGCAGAACGTAAGGTGCTTGTATGGGACCTCAGAAATTTGAACTATGTTCAAAAGAAAGAATCCAGCCTCAAGTATCAAACACGATGCATACAGTGTTTTCCAAATGGCCAGGTAAGCTTTAGTGGCTCATTGAGGAAGCATCACTTACTCCATTTACATCCTGTGTATTTATTCATTCAATTTTAAGGGATATGTGCTGAGCTCAATTGAGGGAAGGGTGGCTGTTGAGTACCTGGATCAGAGTCCAGAAGTTCAGAAGAAGAAGTATGCTTTCAAATGCCACAGGATCAAGGAAGATGGCATCGAGAAGATCTACCCAGTGAATGCTATCAGGTTGGTGTGTTACTGATGCAAGACTTGGAAGAAGGAATTAAGCTGGCTTGTTACTCAAGCTTTAAATCATGTTTCTGCGCTGTAGAGTTGGACAAGCCAAAGTTAGGTTTCATGTATGTATGTAGTTACAAATGGATCACAGATGGCTCAGGGTCTACGCACCACAGTTTAGGAGTTACTTTATATGTTCATGTTCTAGGGTTTCATTGTTCCTGATGCACTGTATAATATTTCTCATTAATCAAGCAAAAACCATCAAGTTGTCCTTGATGTCCAGTATTAAAGAAGACTGCATACTTTTTGTGAAACAGCTTCAATTGCTGAACTCTTCTAAGGTAGACATCTTTTACTTTGTATGATTCTTTTGTACCCATGTGTTCATGACTTGAGTGATTATTGGAGGAGCTGGTTTTGAATCTTACTTGATCAGACCACTTGCAATGGAAACCCAGGTCTCAACCATACCAATCAGCAGGCATGCATAGTCCATGCAGATGATGGATGTATATGAGACCATATTTGAGAATAGAGGAAGAAACTTAAAAGTTTGCTAATCATTTTTCATGTTTGAGTTTAAAAATGTTGTTGTAGCCTATCAAGTAAAAGAAAAGCAATATCAGTGAATCATTAGTCTGTGGAAGTGTAGAATCGTGAAGTTGATGATTCAGAAGTGGAAAATATGAGAAAAATGAGTTTTGAAGGCAACAACAACTTCTTTAAGGGAGAAATTTAGATATGAGATAAGTAAGAATTTTAGCCCCTTTTAAACATCACAGAAGCATGAAAAGATGCATCAAAGGAAGGAGCAGATATGGCAGGTGAGGACATTCATACTTTTCCAAAGCATGGAAAATGTATAATTTTGAAACCAACAGAAATATTTTCATTCTGTGAAATTGTTTTTTGCTACCTGTCCATCATCATAGATTGGGTCACTTATTCCTTGAATCATATCTATTTTATGAAGGAATTTAGAGTTTGGCTGAATGCATCTCATAACTTTAAGCATTTTTTAATATTTAAGTGGATGCTGCTTCTAAAGTAGTTTTACTTTGTTTCCAGCTTCCATCAGCAGTTCAACACATTTGCCACTGGTGGGTCAGATGGGTATGTAAATATATGGGATGGCTTCAACAAGAAGAGGCTGTGCCAATTTCACCGATATTCAACTGGAGTCACCTCATTGTCATTCAGTCATGATGGTATGCTGTAATTACTGCTGCTTCTTTCTTGGCTTAGTGCTTAGTTTTCTCATTTTTGTGTATTAACCTTCTTCCGTATGTCAGTCCTGTAACTCCCCATAGTGTCCTTTTTTTCTTTATTTATAGCCCTGCTGTAAAGACTTCCATGTTTTCTCCCCTTGAAGAATAGGAATATTAGCTACATAGGCTTCTTCTCTGTCTAAAGGCAATTTTTTAAGTGTGAACTGGAACACAAGCAAGAACAAGTGCCACAAGTTGCTGAATACATGGCAGTGTATTCTGCTACTTGTGGCACTACAGTATTCAGCAACAGAGGGAGGGTGATCCATATCATAAATCCTTGATGGTTTTGCCATACTTTCCCCCACTCTGTATCCTGTTTTCGCAGGCCTGGGAAATATGCTGAAAATTTCATGCTGCATAGGCATTATGCCTTCTTACATGGCCCTCCTATAGTTTCATTGGGTCCATAATTGCTTCATATTTTATGGTTAATTTTTTTTGTTACAGGGACCTTACTGGCAATAGGAGTGTCATACAACTACGAACTGGATGATCCACCAGATCCAATGCCAGAGAATGCCATCTACATTAGATCTGTTACAGAGCAGGAGACAAAGCCCAAGTAAAAGACTTGAACAATCTGTTGTGACCTGGGTCTGTGTCGGCTCATTCCTCGCCTCCCTCCGTGTTATGGGAAGGGTTCCCATTGTGGAAGATGATCCAATTTTATCCCTTTTTTTCCATCTTTTACATTTTTTTCTTCGATAAGATGTGAACAAGATTCCATGCTTTTCCTTCAAGATGACATGCAACTTTTATCATGAATCCATCTGATAAATTTGTGTGGAGTTTCCCCATGGTAGGCCTGTTGCAAATGCACTATCATTCTTAAAAAATAAAATTACTATTGCTCTGGATTGTTGCCTAGTGTATCACCAGTCATGTGACACATTTTCTGATAACTTGAAAGACGTTGCCACTATCATTGAAAGAGTGGGGAAACCATTTTTTCTTTGTGAGGCTACAGTCTTTTAGACTGTATGAGGGGTGTGTGAAACGTTCTAAGCCAACCATGCTGAAGCTGATGTAGATGCACACAAGCCTAACACATTAGCGTATATTCCCCCCTGATATTTACCCACTTGGACCAACAATGCTCTAGGGCTTCAATGCATTCCTGGAAGGAAGTTATGCCCTACCCCTGTAACCATTTGAAAATAGTTGGTATGATGTCTTTATCGGTCTGAACTCTGGTTCCTCTGAGGTGTTTTGAAATGGCAGTATAAGTGAAAGTTTGAGGGGTGACTAGGTCAACGGAATCATGTGGGTGCGGCAGCATTTCAAAGCCACACTCATTGCACCCATCGAAACGTGGGAGGGTTCCTAGTTCTGAGGAAACAGTGCGCCAAGATGCAACTTCCCTCAATACTTGGTCATTGACAATTGGCGAAGCAACTCTTTCTAAACCTGAATACGAATGGCAAACACTTTTTCCTCTACAGATGCTGTTGTGGGATGTTTGTAAAGTGGGTCAATTGCAGTTCTCTACCCCTCCTGAATTCTGCTGTCCATTTTTTAACTCTGGCATGGGATGGGGCATCCCTTCTTGTTGTTTGCATTGTGCCCTAGTAAATGACTTTTGATGTTCTTGTGCAAGTATTTGATCTCTAAGTTTTTTTTTTCTCTCTCTCTCCCTCTTTCAACAGATAGTATGAGCTCATTTTAGTCTCCCGTAAAAGGAGGAGAAAAAAATCTAACGTGACCAAACTTTGTGTCAATGATCTAATATATAGGGTGTCTGATAAGTCATTGACCCTTTTCAAATTGCTATAACTTTTGTAGCATTCATGTGATTATGTTGCAATTTTTGCACCATGTTATCCAATCATTGAAATTTCTTATGTATTGTTTTTGTTCCCACACTGGGAACAGCTTGGAAATTCTCCATAATGCAGTGCGAGGGATGTATCGCACACCGTAGGAGCACAAATTAATTTTATTTAGCATTTCTTTGTTGCAGAATAAATTCTGGAAGCATAAAGTGGCGGATAAGTTCACAACGATAAAGGAGTGGTAATGGTGTAAATGTTCGCTACCCGTGGCTGTAGTCAGCAAATGGAGTTGCTGAGGAATTCCATCTAAATATCCCATTTACAACACCTAGCCACACAACAGGAGAAAGACGAGGTGGAAATTTAGACAGCTCGTCTTGATACCATATTCATCAGTGAAGAGGGTTCCAAATTTTATCGACAGCTGTGAGGAAAACGAAAAAAGCTGGGAGAAATTCCCTATGGTCTGCAAAATGTGGCTCACCTATATTCCTCAGGTTAAAACGACATCTTGAAAGACAAGCCTCCATTTTTCCATCAAAAGAGAGTGAGTCGGTATGGGAGAAGGGAAATATGCATAGGAAACGTTAGCAATGCAAATCAGGATGGATGCCGTTATCCCACAATGAATTTCACGTTGGAAGACGCCCAACCATATGGGGAGTAGGGGAATCTTCCATTATGGAAATGCCACCATTATTTTATTTTCCCTCTTCACTCATGGTTAGGGCCCTGTGCCATGATGCTTCCCCATCTGTGTGGATATGTGCTTCCTGTTGCTGGCAGGAAACCCTATCTTTAAATGTTCTCTCCCATCGCGACGAAGGAATGGATTCTGATCTCTGATAATTCTGATTCTCTTCTCTGATAATAATCTAAGTCGTTGCTCTTTGGCCTTTTGATAAAGCCTTGGCTTTCACGGCTTGGTAAAACAAATCCCCAAAAAATCCTCTCATTACCCGAAATCTCAGGGTAAAACTCTTCAAGCAAAATTGCTCACGTCATCAAATGCAGGGCTGGCCTTAAGCATGTGCCCCGTACAGGGCGCAAATTCATCAGGGGCACCTAAACGCAATGAGGCAATTTTGGACGCCACTCTCCGTTTTACTTCAGGAAGTGGAAATGCCTCCCGTTTCGGCGTTTTTTTGGACTCTAGGGATTGACTCTTCTCTCCTTCCAATTTTCCCTGGAGAGTCATCGAGGTCGAAGGCCTCTCTTTGCTCAGTATTATCTCTTTGCACCGGGCGCTGGAAAAGCTAGGGCCGGCCCTGATCAAATGGAAGAGGCGGAATGCACTCGATTCCGTTAACCAGCGAAACCAAGTTCCAATCGATCTCGAAAAATTGAGAAATCGATTTAACAGTGACATAAAAAAAGGCTTGTCCTGAAGGTTTATGGACTGGTTTCCCAAGGAGAATTAGTAATGCTGTGCAAACTCTGACTCTCGAAGACGAAGAAGAAAGTGGAAGGAAAATGTCAGGGGTTCTTTGCATTAATCATCGCTCTGCCATTTAATTGCGAACGTCAGTGACGTAAATTCCTTGTGTGGAGCGTCATCGTCGTCGACGTCAACTGCTGGGTTTTGTTTGTTTTTCCATTGAAGTTGGTCGAAGGAGTACTGAACCCCTCCCTCTCATAAATAGGCGCAGTAGTGTCTATAATCTTTCTTCATGCCAAATCCCATTACGAAAATTAGCTTCGCCGCACTCTTCATTAAGAGCACCTAAAGCAACGAAGATTTGAATGCTTCTTACCCTCTCAACACAGAACCACTCCAGCAAATTTGAAGCTCCAATCCTTCAGGGCTGCGGAGAGCACTGAATGGCGATTTTAGAAGATGTGAATTTCATGCCGGCATATTTTTTTTCTCCCCACCTGGGTTGTCACTCCTTGGGGATGGGGGTCAAGGAGACAACCCCACCGAAAGAAATATTTGGGACATTCCACGTCAAATCAACACACTACAAAAACATATACCTCCCAATTTGATCAAATCTGGACAGCGATTTCAATCATTGAAGTGATGATCAGAATGCCGTAATAATCTTAAGCAGGTTATGCAAGGGGTATGTTCTGACTGAATTTCATGATTGCCCTATATGTTAACAGATCAGAGATATTTTTCACTTTCACGTGAAAAATGGTCAAAATCTCGAAAAGTTCTTACTATCCCAATGTGGTTTTCAGCCTATATGTTCTACATCTTTAGCGATATGTCAGCCAAATTTAATGGAAATCCCAGATGATGTATTTTTGCAAAATGAGTTAAAATTTCAGTGCATCTATTTTATGACTACGTGTTACTCTTTCAGATTACACCTACGAGTATGGTATCATCCGAAAGAGCAGGAAAAGACCTTCACAAGGAGCTATAAAGCATCTCTTTAGCTTGACTATAAGAGAAGTTATCACGATGTTGAGGAGTAACCCCTACTCCTCGACAGGAGTAGGGGGTGCTACTTGAAGACAAAAAACGCAAATTTTTCATTGTTCCTTCTTACGATCTAATTGACTGAAGAGGAAAATGCGTTGGTATCTCCCTTTCCCGGTACTACAGAGCATTAGTTTAAATTTCATTTAAAAATTGGAAAGTTGTATTTTGTATTGTGTTGATTTGACATGGAATGACTCAATGGGTTATCTGACAGGGGCCATTATTTTACTTTTCAGTGACGAAACTGTCAATATCTCAAAACGTTATTGATATCCCAATCTCGGCAGACCTGCTTTACCTAAAGAGGCAAGTTTGTAAGCCAAATTTATTTGAAATCGAAGAGGCAGTATTTTTGCTAGATGACGTCATAAGTTTGAGTTTCGATTTTATCGCAACGTCTTACTTCTCGAGATATCACTAGCAAAGCTGATGCCATTGGGAAGGGCAGGAAGAGACCTTTCAGAAGAGCCATAAAGCATCTCTCTACCTTGAAGAGAAGTTATAAGCGTATTTAGGGACAGAGACGCCAAAAGGTAACAAAGCAGACATTGGGTGACATGCACCGAATCCGTTTAAACTAAACTAATCTGATCTCACAATAGTCCCCTATAGGAATCAGTTAAGAGATAAACTTATTTCCATAGACGCCCATTATGAAGAAGAATCGGTTTAAAGTTAAACGAATCTGGTGCATGCCACCCATTATCTTTAGAGCCTCTTATCTTTAGATCTAAGCGACTGAGGAGGAAAGTATTTAGGATTTCCCACTTTCTCAATAGCTTTGGTCCAGATTCAATCCAAATCGGAGGTCATGTTTTGTAGTGTGCTGATTTGACGTGGAATGACCCATACTGGCTTGTAGGTTGCGAAAAGTGCCCATTTTCTCGTTTGCGATGCACCATTTCGCCATTTAAAAATGAAATTAGCTGTCGTTCATTTAGGTTTAGTGTGCTGGCTCCAGTCCCGTCCCTTAGTCCCTCATGGTTGCCGGATATCGTGCTGGAGTTATGTGGGATTTATGACTGCTTCTGCTTTCGTATCGATGTCTGGATGTTCTATTTTTTAATGTATGAAATATATCTGTGCTGAGTTCATGGGAGGAGGCGAGATCGAAGCCCTGGTTAACGGAGGCCATTCGATAAGATATATACGTAATATAGAGATACCATGCATGGACATCCTTACCGATGTTGACGCTCGATATGCATTTCATTCTCGGGGTCATTTTTCTCATTAGACTTCGTTGAGATAGTTCGAGTAACTCTAGAGGGATCTAACGTTACAGTCCTCACTGAAACGGTTCGCGAAAGTTATAATTGGTCCGTAATTAGCCTAATGCAATGCATCCGCAGCGAGACATCTCGAGAGCCCAGGAATGACCTTAATAGCCCTAATTGCCCCCGTAAGTCGAGGGGTGAGATTCTTTTGAACGAGAAAGGGTAGGCTTAGGCCTGCCCTGAGGACAGTCCGTGGGCCAAGCCTTGACTTGGCCTAGGTCTAATGTTAGTGAGCCCTGTAGAGAAGGGGAGGGGGAGGGGGAAAGGGGGTTGAAGAAAGCGAAAATGGTTTTCACATTACTTCATGGTTGCTGTTGAGATGCCAGTACCGCGGGATTTTTATGTAGGATTCAGATTATGCCTTGGACGACATT